GTCGTTGACATCTCATCGTCTTTTTCATTGAGTTATATATATATATAAGATGTGTATAAGAGACAGATTACATACTGTAATTTACTTATATTTACCTACATCAGTGATTTTATAATATGCTAATGTTCATTATCACTTCTTTATCACTGTCACTGTCTGATGAATAAGAAACACTAGGCAACAATGGAAAGTTGTTGCAGGAACTCCCTTTTGCTTCGCAGTTACACATCTCAGTACACTGAAGATTATTTCTCCTGCACGTGCATGTATTATTTGAACATGTACTGCATTTTAATGACGTAAACAATATTAGTGACAATTTTAGCGGAAAATGGCGGCCATTTTGAAACTGCTGGCAACCCCCCTTACGTATAAAAAAAAAAGTTGCACATACTTTTTTGTTTTTTAGATTAAATGCAACCAACAAAAGTTTGCTGGACAAACAGTCAACAATCTGTTACGTGTACTCAAGTGAATTACTAACACAGAAAACTTGGATGGGTTATTAGTTAAAAGTAGCCAAACAATATCATATGTCAAGAAGTAGACACCGCAGCAGTTGAGCTTTATTTTTGTGTCCATTTTGTAAAACGTTCTAACAAGAAAGATGAAAGAATTGTTTGGCGACAATGGGCACACAAGTGTGGCAGGAAGTGCAGGTTACTAAAAGAACACTGCGCAGAATACCCCCAAATTTGAAACGGGGGGTTAAAATGCAAGGCTGCCGACCAAAATACCGCCAATTGAAAATAAACCAACTATTTCATTTATTCTCGAATACATAACTCAACAATTTACATGTTGCTTTTCATCATAGCGGTGATAAAAGAGAAAAGAAAATATAAATCAAATTTACAAAACATAGGGCCTATACAGTATAAAGGAAAAGCTTCAAATATAAACGAAATTTACATTATACAAAATAATCAATATGAATAGTATTATATTATTTTACACTAAACAAAAAAGCCAAGAAAACATAAATAACATACATTTATAAATATTAACATTACATTGAGGAATATGAAATATTATTTTTTTTAATACTTAAAGTATTTGAAGTTAGTACTTTTGAATTTAGTTTGCTCCATTCAAAAGCTCCGCTGCATGAAATACTTCTCTATTTATAATTAGTTGTTGGTTTGGGAATACATTACTTTAACGAAAATTATAACTACTATTAGTTAGAGAGAACGAATTAGGCTGGGAGCCTATTTTTGAAAAATGTTGTCAATTGTAATTTTTCTTTCTTCAAATTTAAGATCCAGGGAGCAATAATGGTAGCGTCGATCTTCCAAGTTCTTATAGGATTCAGTGGTATCATGGGTGTTATTTTACATTTCATTGGACCTCTTGCGATCACACCAACCATCGCTTTGATAGGATTATCGCTTTTCTCGGCTGCAGCGGAAAAAGCTGGCGTGCATTGGGGAATCGCCTTCCTGTAAGTGTATAAATTTAGACATCTTATGGTGAACATAACTAAGTATGATTATGTTGTTTAATTGAATGGTTGATGTTACATTGAATTGATTAAATTCAATAAACGGTAAACTGTACTTTCTTTAAACTACATTGTTAAATTAAACGAAAATATTTAAAGAAATTAGAAAATATAACAATGTATAGAGTTAATAATGAAGGTTTATAAAATGAAACCTAAAGTCTTTCGTTCAATTAGACACAGACCTACAGGGGTGGATCCAGAGAAAAAATGGTGTAGGGGTCAATCGATGTGTGAAGCACCGAGCCGGTTAAGGGAGGGGGATGATGGGATGTTATATTGTTTTGTAAAAATATAAAGTCCATAGGTGTAGGCCTTCGAGCTCTAGCCCCATTGCTCCATGGATCTTCCACTGACCTTAGTTTAACTCTTGTGTACTAACCATTTATAAAGAGTAAAAAAGAGAGAACTAGTTACGTATTAAAAATATAGGCCCTATATATATATTGAATGAAATATTTTGAATACTGAATTCGAGAATAAAGGTGAAATATCCCACAAAACAGGAAAAAGTATAGATGTAAAGCCGTTTCCCGGAAGAGTACAGTAGACGGAACAAAATGTAGGCTAATTACTCGTAATTGGTATCCTAAAGATTTTAAAGAATAAGAAATTAAGAGATTAAGTGGTTGTATGACTTCCGTGTGGTTCAAGCAATGCGTCCTTGTACTACAGGGGTCAGCGATTAAGTGGGCGAGTAACTCGCCTTAAAATGTGCAAAAAAAAAATATTACGCAAGAGGATTGAGAAAATAAAAATCATAATTCACAAACTTCTTCAATTTAATTTAACTCACCGTGGTAT